GTTAAATGGGCCATTGAGCTCGGACAGTTCGACATCCACTATCAACCACGGACTGCCATCAAAGCCCAAACCTTATCCGACTTTATCGCCGAGTTTACCCCGGCAATCACAGTTCATTGCAATAATCACCCCTGGGTCCTCTATATTGACGGCTCTTCAACAGCCAACCGAGCGGGAGCAGGGATAGTCTTAGCTGATCCAGAGAATCGGTTATTCTGTCATTCGGTGAAGTTCCTCTTTCCAGCAACCAATAATGAGGCCGAGTATGAAGCATTGCTATCCGAACTGAATTTGGCAGAGTCCATGAACGTGACCCACCTCAAAGTCTTCTCAGACTCACAACTCCTCGTCAATCAAATCAATGGCTCGTACGAAGTCAAGGAACCTCGGCTGACACCTTATCTCGCTTTGGCTAAACGGAAATTGTCAAAATTCTCCGCCGACCTCGAGCATATCCCCCGGAGTCTCAATGTTCAAGCAGATGCCTTATCTCGACTTGCGTCCAGTACCGGGATGGAGAGCGCGGAGTACATCCTAATCGGCCAACAAGAGCAACCATCAACTGCCCTATCCGAGGTCACAACCATCAATCCAGTGACATCGCAAAAATCACCAACTTGGATGGATCCTATTATCAACTACCTGGAAACTGGGGCCTTACCTCCGAACCCAAAAGAAGCTCGAGCACTTCGGATTCGAGCAGCTCGGTACACATTAGACAACGGAACTCTATTTAAAAGGGGATATTCCGTTCCACTTTTGAAATGCGTAAGTGAAGCTGATTCATGGTACATTCTTGAAGAAGTCCACGAAGGGATTTGCGGAAGTCACCCCGGTGCACAAGCATTGTCTTATAAAATCCTGCGGCAAGGTTATTACTGGCCGACTTTGAAGACCGACGCCGCCATATGGGTGCGCAAATGCCCGAAATGCCAAATGTTTGCCCCTAACATTCATCAATCTCCCGAAGAACTAAAATCCATTTACAGTCCGTGGCCGTTTGCCAAATGGGGGATTGATCTTATCGGCCCTCTACCAACCGGAAAGGGAGGTGTCCGGTTTGTTATCGTGGCAGTTGATTATTTCACTAAATGGGCCGAGGCTGAACCGTTAGCCACGATAACCGAACAGAAGGTCGTAGATTTTGTATGGAAGTCAATTATCTGTCGCTTCGGTGTACCGAATTCCATCATAACCGACAACGGCAAACAATTTGAAGGCAAACGACTTGAATCCCTGTGTGAAGAATACAACATCAAACACTTCTTCTCATCTCCCTACCATCCGCAGTCCAACGGTCAAGTTGAAGCCATAAACAAACTCATAAAAAATGGTCTCAAAGTTCGACTTGACGCCGCCAAAGGAGCTTGGCCAGAGGAGTTGCCACATGTCCTGTGGGCTTACCGGACTACCGCACGGACGTCCACTGGCGAGACCCCATTTTCTCTGACTTACGGTTCCGAGGCCGTAGTCCCAGTGGAACTCGGAGAACCGACCTACCGAATTCAGCACTTCACCGAAGAAGCCAACTCGGAAAACATGAAGGCGAATCTGGACCTGCTAGAAGAACACCGTACTCGGTCCGAACTCAAGAATGCTGCATACAAGCAAAGAAATGAAAGGTACATCAATTCTAAACTCAAACCCCGTGCGTTCCGAGTTGGAGATTTGGTCCTCAAGCGTATTATGGGGCCTGACCCCGGACCACTCAAACCGCGGTGGGAAGGACCCTTTCAAATCATCAAGATCCTACCTCATGGGGCCTACCGAATTGCGCATCCCGATGGAACACCACATCAATATCCTTGGAACGCGGTGTACCTGAAAAAATTCTATCAATGAAGGATCCGAAGTCGCGTAATCGACCTCCCTTTTGTACGGACCTTCCCTTTTGCCTCGGTGAATGACTGAAGTCACTTCTTTTGGTATACTGATGTACTGAATAGTCGAACACCAGGCTCAATGCCGATGTAAACCTTTTGAAACATGGTTAAATATATCATGCCGATGTAAACATCACGACACTCGGCCTAGCTAATACCCCGTAATACACCCAAACCCCACGTATGGTTTGGTCGAGGTTGAAGCTCGTCAAACGTCACTTCAGCTAACATGATTTGACGGGTCCCGATTATTACCGAACATTCATTTAAACAACTCGGTTGGGGCCGTTCCATAATCGGACTCTGACGAAGTCCGGTGACTTATTTTATTTCCCGTACAGCCCTAAAAATGTGTTGAGTTTTGCGAAGTTATCTGAAAACTCGCATAATCGACTCACACTTGTGGCTGAAATTCTTATAAATGATCAAAGTGGAATTCGGAAGTTATCTTTATAAAATCTTACAACTCGGATCATGATTTAAGTAATTCCGAGTTGAAGCAATTTACTTTCTGAAAACCGAATTCATAACACTTGGTCGAAAATTGCTGAAATTTGTACGGCAAAACATACAATCAAAATCAAACATACTTAAACACTTCATATATAATATTATGTCGAAAAAGTCTGGGGAATCCCTTACATAAAATTTCCTACTAAGGGAGTCGGCTATCCAACATCCCCGATTACACACCATCAACTTTCAAATATTTCCTACTAAGGATGCCGACATGCCGGCACCCCGATTACCTTATGCAAACTTAATAAGTAAAGAAAACGACAAAGACAAAACACCAAACATCACTGCTGGACCTCCTCGGTTGGTTTCTCCACATTCTCTCCGGTGCCACTGCTTTCTCCGACCTCGATACCAGAAGATAATCGCTCCAAGAC